AGGAACGCTAAACGGTTAAACATAAAAGGACAGTTTCTTCATCTTAGAAATTCTCGAAAATTAAAAAAAAGAACTATTTCCAGAAAATCATGCAAATCGTGAGAAATTATTAAGGAGCAATTTAAAATTACAATTACAAAAGCAAAATCTAAAATTATTACCACCATAAGACTGATTTCATCACTTCTTGACTTGTTTTAATCCGTTTTCTTGATTCGTTTCCTATTTATCGTTGTTGATTTTTCTTGTTATTTTCATTTCCTTTTTTTGTTTTTTCTATTTCTAATGAAATACCGTATCGTTACAGTTACTCATAAAAAAATAATTAAAAATGAAAGTAATGATCTGTGGAATATTGTAAAAATGATTATTCATCATTATGTGGCATTTTTGACGCAATCGGCGTTAATAAGTTGGTCCGTGTTTTTTGCCTTTCCGTGTTACATTCTTGCAGCATGCATTGATGCATTTATTGATGACATGCATCATGATGGCATACTTAGAGATCATAAGTAAGTAAATTTCTTTCTATCATACATTGATTTTGATCAAATTAAAATTTTTCACACTTTAACACCGATACTTCTCTTCAGATTTTGATAATGTTTAATTTGAATTTTTGAATGCATAAAGTGCTAAAATAAAGCAATAAACGGTTAAATTGATTAAAATATCATTAGACTAATTAAACTTTATTAATTAATTTTTGTATCTTATTTATATAAAATTTTTTTTAGATGGACAAGTAGCCAAGCAGTAAGCCATGTATTAAAATATAAACATCGTTATCGAGTGAGAATTTTTAATTATTCCGTTTTTTTCTTTTCTTTGATTTTCAATGTTACCATCAAATGAATAATAGGGGCTATGCAGTAGTACGTCGGAAAAGATCTTTACAAAAATATCATATAATTTCAAAAGAAAAAAAAAAGACACATAATGCTGGGATACTAATTATTGATTGACTTTTCGATTTTCAACTACTGGATAAAATTCATTAAATATTCCAACAAAATGTTACTTATCTACGGTAAGATTTGATTATTTTAGAATCTAAAAAAAACCGCTGATATAATTGAGGAACAGTTCAAGTATGCAATAGCATATGTTGATGCATTATGCTTTACCGAACTATGCTTCATACTGTATACTTATTTGCAAGATAAAAGTGAAACGAAAACATGGATTGATACGATGCTATGTGTACTGTATGCTGTTAGCTCTTTATTTCATATCACTTTTTTCACAGCACCTGCTTATCGTCTTTATGAAAGAGTAATAGTTTAAATATGTACCATATCCGACAGCATAAAATTTATCCTACTGTATATGTAAAGATCAACTATTTGAAATTTGTTTTGCGAAGTATAAAGAAGTTTGAAAACAAGCGATTTTTTTTTGTAAATTTGAAAACAAGCAATTTTTTTTTGTAAATTTGTTATCATAAATTTTTCCATTTCTACTTTCATTGGAATTAGTTTAATACAATAATTCAAATTTTGTAGTACTGCAGTGAAAGAAATTGTCAAAATTCAGTAGTACATATCTTTTTTCATATCATCATATGTATTTAGAATCAAACAATCGTGGCAATTGCTACTACTGTGTTTCAAAATCAATTAAATCGAGAACGTGATCAATTTCTTGACGTAATTAATTAATTAATTTCATCAGTATTCACTT